AAGTTTATTATATATTGAGTCATATATTACTGAAAGACAGAAAAAACATCCTATGTCTCTCTCCCACAGACAGTTAGAAGCAATCAGGGAGTTAGACAACAGATATAAATTATCTTTTTTTTTTTGAATCAAGAGAATATGTAAAACCAAGAAGTTTAGCTAGTACTCTTTCAATTGCAAGTGAAAGAAACCCACTCAAGTTAGCTTATGAAATAAAAAGGGGGAATTTACTTATTCACAAAACTAAACAGCTCGGAAGTAAACCTAGCTTCAGGCAAGTTGGATGTAGTGGGGCTTATAGTTGTCCTCAGGATTTACTGATTTCTCCCTTCATTGTTCACCCTTACTTTCCTCTGAAATAGCTGGGCAGATGCTCTCTGCCTTGTAGTTTCAGAAGCTTCCACTGCAGGTTCTCTGGGCTGACAGAGAGCCAGTTCACTCTGGCCTAGCGTGGGTTATCTGCCCTGTGGCAAGGGAACATGGGGCTCTCAGAGTTCTGCTCTGGCCCACAGGCATAGTCCCCAAATCACTTATGCTAAGAGGGGAAGAATCAAAATATAAAATTAATCACAGAATTGAGCCAAACCTATTTGTGCCAATAGAATAGAAATAGCTGCTATTGCAAATATAGCACTCTGACCCCTAGTGGTTAGATGACACAAAGAAAATACAGCATTCATTCGAAGCCAACAGCAGGTTAATTTATTTCCCATCATATCTTTATAATTTTTTTTTTCAGTTTACTTAAGAATATCAATGTCCTTACTTTTTATCCTTTCCACTGACGCCTTCACCTATTGTGGGCAAAGTTTCTTTTGACATACTTTTTGTCTCCTCTATCTCAACGGTTACCATCTTTCTCCTTGGGTTTGTATTTAGATACTGTTATAATGTCCTAAATTATCTCCTGACCTTCAATCCTTTATGAACACCAACACCTGAAAAGCTTTCCTAAAAATTGCTTTATTTTTTATAGTTTCCAGCTGGGAGTTTACTCTGACACTTAATCAGATCCAACCAAAATCCCTGGGTCAAACATCAATTTTCATGCCCCCTCTCATTTTTTTGCTTATGAAATTACAGTTAGCTCCCTGTCACATGCATTGGGAAGCTAACATAAATAATAATACATTCAAGTAATACATGTTGACCTGATGAACTATACAAATTGAGAACACTCATACTTTTCTGATCTCATATAAGAAACAGATTAATACATTTTTAATTTCATTTTACTAAACCTATCTAATATTCTGCACAGAAAACTTCATTATGCTCCTTAGCATTTTTCCAGGGTGAATTAAGTGCATGATTTATCTCTCATAAAAAGACATTGATTGGTACAAATTTATAAGTATACTAACTAAAAGCTCAGATTATAAGCTAAAATTAAAATATATGTGCCTAAATGTTCATAATTTTCATGTTACATTATTTCTTTCTTGGTTAGTGGCTGAGATAGTAAGAATTCTAACTTCATTATTGTCTACATTTTCTCTTCAATTTTCACTGCAAAGACAAACATGAAAAATGGAGTTGATCACTCTGAAGGCTTATAGATTTTATCATACATTTCCCTTATTTCTGTTTTTTCTCTCCAGTGTTTTTCTCTATGTGAGTTTTTGCTTTTATTTATTTATTTATTTTTAAAAGATTTTATTTATTTATTCATGAGAGACACAGGCAGAGGGAGAAGCAGGGTCCATGCAGGGAGCTCTGGGTCCCACAGCAGCCCCTTGCATGGACCCTGCTGTGGGACCCGATTCCGGGTCTCCAGGATCAGGCCCTGGGCCAAAGGGGACGCCAAACTGCTGAGCCACCTGGGCTGCCCAGTTTTTGCATTTTTAATGATAGTATACAGTTTCTTTCTTCTGAAGTATTCCTATAAAGTTGCTAAATAAGACCGGAGTAGACTGTCTAAGCTTCAGTTTTCTTCTCTGTATAAGGAAGATAAGAGAGGGTCCCCTGGATGGTATAGTTGGTTAAGTGATTGACTTTTGGTTTCAGCTCAGGTTGTGATCTCAGGGTTGTGAGATTGAGCCCTATGAGGGCCTTTGCACTCAGCTCAGAGTCTACCTGAGTTTCTCTCTCCTTCTCGCTCTGCTTCTCACCCCTATGGTGTCTCTCTCTAAAATACATAAATAAATTTTTTAAAAAAGACGATAATAGAATAATAATAGTACTACTAATTTATAGGGTTACTTATAGAGTTGTATGCTGAATCCATTTGATAAATTCACATAGAAGGCTAATAACTGTGGTTACTGGCACACACTTGTAAGTTCTCAAATATTATTAGCCTTTACTATTACTTTATAGATTGACTTGCGTTTTTAGTGTGTCTTTGTGCACATAAATTGGTTTGTCTGCCACCAAACATTTGTAAAGTGTTTAATATATTTGTGGGCTGAAAAAGAAAGTAACAAGATAGTCTATTCTTATGGCGTTTACAATCTAATTTGAGAATCAAAGCACAGAGACTTAAAATTTATAGACAAAATGTGGTATATACATATAATAGAATATTATTCTGCCTTAAAAAGGAAGTTCTGACATGCTACTACATCAACATGATTGAAGACATGCAACGTGAAATAAACTCATTAGAGCAGGGCACATATTGTATGATTCTAATTATGCGGAGTATTTAGAGCTGTCAAATTCATGCACTCAAGTAGAACTATGGTTGCCAGAGCTGGGGGAAGGGTAAAGGGAAGTTATTTAATGAGTATAGATTAGTTTGGGGGGATGAAAAAGTTCTGGTAATTGATGGTGGTAGGTTGCACAAAAATGTGAATGTACTCAATTGCACATTTAAAAATGGCTGAAATGGTATATTTTATATTATGGATATCTCACCAAAATAAAAAAAAAAGATTTAAAATTTAATTATTAACATAAAAGAAAATCAGAGTTCAAGAATACAAAATACACACTAGTAAATTATAAATTATCAAGTGCCATTTTTAAAAAACAAAATGTATCTTTAGTTTTTGAATAAGTAATTCATATGCATGGTAGAAAAATAAAAGTCACAAAAAGGAATACAAGGAAAAGTAAATCTTCCTGTAACATATATATATATATATATATATATATACACATCCTATATCCTATATATATATATTTAAATAACTATACTCATACACTGTAAACACTATGTTGTGACTTTCTTTTTCCACTTAACAATGTCTTGGGTAGTACATTAAAAGCAATCTTGTTCTTTCTTAAGAGCTGTTATGAGCTGTATAGATACCATAAATTTTTTTAACCATTCTCTATTGAGAAGCAGAAAGGGTTTCTGGTATTTTGTTATTACAAGCAATGCTTCAAAAAATAATATGGTACATATATCATTTGGTGTAACTGAACATTTCTATAAGATAAATTCCTAGAGGTAGGGTCACTGGCTTTTCAAATAATTCATAATAAAAGCGTCCTCCCCTCTCATTTCCCTATTCCGCACAGCCAACAACTCCATTTAGGTTTTCAATATTTATTCACTTTTGAAGTGTTGTCCTCAAACCCATCTTCCTGAAAGAATCATCGGCTCAGAGATTTTCATGCTGCCTAATACATCCCAGATTAGATCTAATGCCTATTTTAGCCAACAAGGCTAACCTTCATGTCGTCCCTGCATTTTCCCTCTCCAGCCTTCTTACCATCATCCACCTTTACTCTTTTAGCTTTTATAACATACAAGAGTTTATAATTTCAAGTCTCCATGCATCTGCTTTTACTATCTCACCAGCTTGGAATACCTTTTCTATTTCTCTTAACCTCCCCTGGGGAGTCTCAACCCCCTTATGTAAGAGGAGGAATCTCCCCCTTTCTACTCACTCCACAGGTTTCTGTGTATTCATCTTCCACAGTGATCGCTCTTCTCTATTGAAACTATACCCTTGGGGGTCCCTGGGTGGCGCAGCGGTTTGGCGCCTGCCTTTGGCCCAGGGCGCGATCCTGGAGACGCGGGATCGAATCCCACGTCGGGCTCCCGGTGCATGGAGCCTGCTTCTCCCTCTGCCTGTGTCTCTGCCTCTCTCTCTCTGTGTGTGTGTGTGACTATCATAAATAAGTAAAAAGAAAAAAAAAAAAAGAAACTATACCCTTGATGTATCCTTGAGGTAGAGAGTGGTCTCCCTCCCCCTTTTTAGCTCTAGCGCCCAGCATAGTGCTTGAGGTCACGTGGTGTGCACTTAGTAAAATTCCTTTAAGTGAACTCAACTAGGTCTTGGGAGAAAAGGGGTGGAATGAGTCAGTCTTTGTTCAAGGTATGGTTATGGGCAGGCCATTAAGTGGAAGATTATGTGCTAGGCAGCGGGATTACAGAGAAAGAGAAGGGGCAACGTAAATGTACAAATCTGATTTGCTGGGTAAGGACTGCAGTGGACTTCAGGTCACAGTTTAGATTTTCAGGGCTATGGTGAGCAAAGGATGGCATTGTAACTAGAAGGAATTGCCCCTGGAATAAAGCTCACTATTTCTGTCTTCTTTTTCATGGCCAACTGTCTCCATTTTTTAAAGCAGAGATGCTCTTTCAGGAAACAAGGTCAAGCACAATGTTTTGGGTAAACAATGATAAAGTGAGAAAACACATGGAAGCAATAGGTCAGAATCAGTCAAGTCCATGAAAGTTCTTTCTGCTAAAATGTCTTCGAAGCCTTGAAAAACAAACAAACAAACAACCCCCAGAACCTTGCTTGCTGTTAAACGGTCTACACGGTTTAATCCAATTGGATTTTGTCCTTTTCTACTCTCTTTCCAACGTGACCACTTTTCACCACACGTTGAGGAAGAAAGTAAAATGTAATGAAATGAGCAGGTTCTTTCAGAGTTGGGCAAAGTTGAACTCAGCACAGAGGACTGTCACTACTAGTAGAGTAGCTTTAGGCAAGCACTTACCCTTCGTATCCCCTTTCGTAAAATAATAATAATAATGATAATGACAATAATAATAATAATAATAAGTCGGGGGCACTTGGGTGGCTCAGATGTTGATCCTGGAGTCCTGGGATGGAGTCCCGCCTCGGGCTCCCTGCAGGGAGTGTGCTTCTCCCTCCCTCTGCCTGTGTCTCTGCCTCGGTGTGCCACGAATCAAAAAATAAAATCTTTAAAAAAAAAAAAAAAACAGTAAGTTGGGAGAGAATGTTTATGTTAAGTGGTTAACGCGGTGCCTGACACAGGGTAAGAGTCCGGCAGAAGACAGCTATCAGTCGATTCTAAGAACCCGAGGTGTTGCTGTCTGCTTTCACTCTCGCAACCAAAGGAATTCCAAGGCTAACCTTTTCACCGAAATAAGGGCGACCCGAACTCGCACTTTCGGCGACGACGCAATTTGCCGTCTCCGGGCCACCGTCGCCGAGCATGCGCACAGAGGCGTGGCGGGACGTACGTGTCATGGCGAGCTCCAGCTGAAGGGTCTCCCGTCTGCGGAGGACGGCGTGTGGATCGTGTCCTCGGGCTGGTGTGTGGCTTCCCCGTCTCTCGGCGAGCGTGGCGGGTGCGTCGGTGCGGGGCAGAGTGCCGCTAGCGTTCCTCTAACGGCGGAGCTCTGTTTCTCCAGTGTCGGGCACTCTCGGGCCGTTTGCTGGCTTGTTTCGTAGTTGGAAGGAGACCTGGCCGCGGGGGTCGGGGCTGCCCGAGGGAGGACGCAGGCGTCGCTCGAGGGGCCGCAGCGCAGGGCCGGCCGCCGGGTGCGCGGGCGACCTCGTTCCTTCCGGCCACATCGGATCCTGGGGGTTCTCACGCTTCCTGAGCCGAGTTGGTGGGATGGGACCCACCAACGTAAGGCTTTCGCAGTTACGTAGAGTTGCTGGCGAGACTGGCGCGCCAGTGCCTTTTATTTCTGTGTTTTCCACTTTTGTCCCCTTTTGCTCGTGCAGTCTCCGAATCCCGGGGGACGACCCGTACCCCCGCCCCGCCGCCCCGTTTCCGTCTGGGGGTGGGGAGGACTCGGATATCGCCGGCGGGTCCTAGCGCCGGGCGGGGCCTGTGGCCGCGGCCGGCCCCCGGGTCGCCGTCGCGGCCCGTCCCGGCGGCGGGTAGACGCCGCGGAGCCCCTCGCTGGCGAGGCGGGAGCAGGGCGGAACGTCGGCCTGCTCTGCCTGCAAAACCGCCTCTCACGAAGTCTCGTCTCCTCGAGCTAGTTTTAAGGAGTTCTTACTGTGGTTTTGTGGACTTGCTTGGGAGCTCGCTTTTTCTAATCGGTCTTTATTTTCCAGACTTTCCAGACGACTTGAGACTGACTGATCAAGAGTTAGGTGCTCAAGGGACTCCTTTCTGTATCTCGGAGCTTCCGTGCTGGAGTGGAGCGTTGCACATCGGAACGTTCAGAAAGGCAGCCCAGTTTCCTAGTAACGTTGCCACCCTGGTTGTGTGGAGATGCCATCTTTTCCATATGATGCCATAGCACTGAGTCTGGGAGACATTTTCGTTGGCTTTTAACTCTTCACTTCATTCAAGAGCATTGACCTTCCCGGCCTCATCGACATCTTCTCTTCCGTCGCCTTCTGTCCCCTGCTGATTTTCTGCTTTTCTGGTTGCTGCTTCTTGGTCTCTATTATACGCTGGTTCTCTTCTATTTGGCGGTTAAATTCGGAGATCCTCAGGGCTTGGTTGTTAAGCCTTTTTCTTTCTGGGTGGTCTAATCTGCATTGTAGTTGATGCTTTTGTGTCTATTTTAGCCATCCTAGTGGGTCTGGAGTGGTATGTCGTTGTGGGTTTTTTTTTTTTTTTTAAGATTTTTATTTATTCATTAGACACACACACACACACACACACACACACACACACACAGAGAGAGAGAGAGAGAGGCAGAGACACAGGCAGAGGGAGAAGCAGGCTCCACGCAGGGAGCCCGACCTGGGACTCAATCCCGGGACTCCAGGATCAGGCCCTGGGCTGCGGGAGGCGCTAAACCGCTGAGCCACCCAGGGATCCCTGTCATTGTGGTTTTGATTTGCGTTTCCCTTATAGTTAATGATACCTCTTTTCATATGCTTATTGGCCATTTGTATACCTTCTTTGGAGAAATATGTATTCGTATCTTTTGCCATGTTTTGCACTGGGTTGTCTTTTTATTGTTGACTTGTGTAATGCTTGCATTCTGACACTAGATGTTTATCAGATAATATGGTTTGCGGGAAGTCCAGGCTCAGCGGTTGAGCATCTGCCTTTGGCTCAGATCTTGACCCCGGGGATCCTGGGGTCGAGTCCCACATCGGGCTCCCTGCATGGAGCCTGCTTCTCCCTCTGCCTGTGTCTCTGCCTCTCTGTGTCTCTCATGAGTAAATAAATAAAATCTTTAAAAAAATAAAAAGAACAAAAATCATTTTTTTATATAATTTATTTTTTATTGGTGTTCACTTTGCCAACATACAGAATAACACCCAGTGCTCATCCCGTCAAGTGCCCCCCCCCCAGTGCCCGTCACCCATTCACCCCCACCCCCCGCCCTCCTCCCCTTCACCACCCCTAGTTCGTTTCCCAGAGTTAGGAGTCTTTATGTTCTGTTTCCCTTTCTGATATTTCCCACACGCTTCTTCTCCCTTCCCTTATATTCCCTTTCACTATTATTTATATTCCCCAAATGAATGAGATCATAAAATGGAGAACAAAAATTATTAAAAAAAGACATGATTTGCAAATATATTCTCTAATTGTATGAATTGTCCTTTCACTTTCTTGATGGTGTTGTCCTTTGAAGCATAAAAATTTTTAATTTTGGTGAAGTCCAGTGTTTTTTTCTTTTCTTGCTTGTGCTTTTGGTGTCATAACTAAGAAACCAAGAATGCTTGATCTAACATCATGGAGATTTACATCTATGTTTTCTTCTAAGACTTTTATAGGGTTAGCTTTCAAATTTAGGTCTGTGGTTCATCTTGAGTTAATTTTGGTATGTGAGGTATGTTATGAAAGAATAACTAGGATAAAAATTTTCAAACTTTAGTGCACATCACGATCACCTGGAGGACTTGTTAAAGATTGCTGGGTTTTACTCAGAGTATCTGATTCAGTAGGTCTGGAGTGGAGCCCAAGAATTATCATTTCTTCCAAGCTTCCCAGTGATGCTAATCATCCTAGCTGGGAACCATGATGAAAATTACTGGCGTAGAACTGTAGTTTACAATATGGCTACACACATGAGAACTGCTGGACAGTTTATCTGTTCCCAGGATCTTTTCCCCAAGATTTTTTTTTTTTTTTTTAAGTAATCTCTGCCCCCAATGTGGGGCTCCAGCTCATGACCCTGAGATCAAGAGTACTGCCCTCTACCTGCTGAGCCTGCTAGGCACCCTTATTCCTCATGATTGATTCAACTGCCCTGAGGGTCAATTTTTGGTAAAATTTTTAAAGATATTTTTATTTGTTTACTTGAGAGAGAGAGAGAGAGAGAGAGAGAGAGCGCGAGCAGGGGTTGGGGCTGGAGGTTGAAAGGCAGAGGGAGAAAGCAGACCCCTGCTGAGCAGACGGCCTGATGCGGGGCTCCATCCCAGGACCTCAGGATCATGACCTGATCCAAAGCTCAGATGCTCAACCAACTGAGCCACCCAGGCACCCCTCAATTGTTGGCAATTTCCAAAAGCTACTCAGGTGAATACAGTGAGCACTCAAGATTGAGAACGTCGCTCTGGGAGAATGGTGGATTTCAATCAAGGATGGAATTACCTGGGCAGGTTTTGCATTAATGTCCTTAAATTCCACTCTTGGAGATTCTAATTCAGAATGAGACTACTTTGATACTTCTTTATTAGCTCTCCTAATAAATCACACATGGAAGTAACACTACTGTAGGGTATTTTTTCATTTTTCCTTTCATCATTTTCAGTATCTCCCTTTTCACTGAAGATTTATTTTTTTAAAGATTTATTTATTTATTCATAGAGACACAGAGAGAGAGAGAGAGAGAGAGAGGCAGAGACACAGGCAGAGGGAGAAGCAGGCTCCACGCAGGGAGCCCAACGTGGGACTCGATCTCGGGTCTCCAGGATCACACCCTGGGCTGCAAGCGGCGCTAAACCGCTGCAGATTTTTATTCCCTTTCTCAAACTTGAATTCCTCTATCTTTTGAACAAAGACCTCATGAACTTGTTCCCTTAAATATTGTCTTGCTTTCTTTTTTGTCTAAAACTTTCATTTCCTTATTACTCATTTATAAGTTTCTGAGGACTTACAATTCCTTCTACCAGTTTGTTGTAAGTAAAAATTTTATTAATGATGCGTGAGATTGTTCTAACGTGCTTATGATATGCAGCCAGATTTACCATCCTCTGCTTTATTTTTATCTCCTTTCTCTAAAATGAATGTCTAGAAATGGAATTGCTGGGTCAAAGGACATATATGTTTTAAAGTTTGATAGGTATTGCTAGAACACCTTCCAGAAAGGATCTACCAGTTTTACTATACTTTCAGCCAACAATAGGACTTTTGTTGTTGCTGTTGTTATTTTTTTTATCAGTAGGGTAGACAAAAAATAATATATTCTTTAAACAGTTGCTATTAGTCGTGCTCAAGCATTATTTCCAGTGCTTATTGGCTATTTGCATTTCTTGAGTGCCTGTTTTTCTTTTGCCTCTTTTTCTGGATTGTGTTTATTTCTTAGCGTTGCATTGGACTCTTACGTGGTTTGGGCTTTCCAATTGGGCAGAGCTATAGGTGGGGGAGCTTGGTGTTGAGAGAAGGCCTGGGTTCTAATTCTAGCTCAATCAGTGTACAAATCTTTTTCTTTCTCTGGATTTCAGTTCCGTAAAATGAGAGGCTTAGCAATGTTTCCTACTTCCCTCACTATGTGATATTGTAATGTCTACTTCAGGGGACCCATCTCCTCTTTTTCTGTTCTCTTTCCCTTCTTTGGATCCATGCACAATGCTGTATGAGATGTAAAAATGATGTAGTGAAAAAATAGGGCTTTTAATGGGTCCTTCAGTTCAGAATCCTTCAGTAGGTCTTGGGTAACATTTGAAGACACTACCTGGTCTTAATCTTTCTCCCTCACCTTATTTATTTCATAGACTATAGTGACAGAAGAAACTCTAGGAGTTACTAGCTATTTGTTTCAACCTATCATCCAGTTTAAGAATTTCTTCCTCTGTTATAGAGAGACTAGCTCAATTTGCCGTGAGCATTTTATTAATTCATTCATTTGGTCAACAACTACTGTGTGCCAGCTCTATGCCAGACATTGTTCTAGGTGTCATAGGTAGAGTGGTAAAACAGAGGTAATGCCTTTGTTCCTTATGGAGCTTACACTGCAGTGCGAAACATGGAATTCTGTTCTGCAGTTATGGTATCAGGTTAGAGGTCATTGTGAATGTGTGTGGATGCTTGGACTCTGGGTGGTTATTTTAGATGTGGTTAGGAAAGGCCTCTCTGAAGAGGTGTCATTTGATTAGACAAGTGGTCAGCAAGCCATACAAATATTTAGGGGATGATATTCCACACAGAAAAAACAAACAAGTGTGAAGACCTGTGAGTCAGAGACTTGTTTGGCATGCTCAGAGAAGATCTAAAAGGATTAGTACAGTTGGGACAGAGGGAGTAGCCAGGGGCCCTATCTTGTTAGATCGGGTCATCTACGTAAAAAAAAAAAAAATTTCTTGAGAACCTGCAATGTGCTAGATGTATTTTAGTCACCACTTGGGATAAAGCAGTGAACAGAGCACTCAAAAACCTTTACCTTTGGGGGGCGCCTGGGTGACTCAATTGGTTAAACATCAGACTCTTGATGTCCGCTCAGGTCATGGTCTTGGAGTTTTGAGATTGGGCCCTGTGTCCATCTCTATACTGAGCATGGAGCCTGTTTGGGATTCTCTCTTCCTCGGCGCCTCCCCCTCTTCACACGCACACTTAGATCAGATCTCTCTCCCAGTAAAACAACAACTTCAAATCCTTTATCTTCATGGAGTACATATTTTAGTAGAAAGAGATACCAAGAACTAATGAAAACGTCTAAGCGGGTAATGGAATTGCTGTGGTAAACAAGGCAGGGAAGGGGAATGGCAGGCAAGCATGTGTGTATACACGGTGAGGTGGGAGTTGCTTAGAAAGATTTCACGTGATGTTTGAACAAAGTTCTGAAGGCATCCCAGGCAAGACTGAGACCTGGGGATGAGTGTGTACTGGTCAGTATGAACTAGCAAAGAAGCCCATCCATGTGTTGTCGAGTGGAAGGAGAGGGGGAATGATAGGAAAGAGGGTCAGAGAGGTGACAGGAGGCTGATTACATATGTCCTTGCAGATCTTTGCAGCGATTTTGGGTTTTTACTCCGAGAATGGAATACGATTCTCAGGTTTTGGTTTGAAGCTTGGGATGAAGTTAAGTTTTAAAGGAATCCCTGGCTCCTGGGCTGAAATG